ACTGACCAGGATTGCACTTCTTGGGCCACCTGGAGCAGGAAGGCAGCTGCTGTGTCCTGTGGTTGGAGCTAAGAGTGGGGGTTCAGCAGTGCTCATCTGAGATGTTCTTTGCCAACCTGTACCTTTGTGATTTGACTTTTCTCAGTTTTTCCTCGCTTTCCCTGCTCTATCAGATGTCTGCTAGGCAAGAATTGTAGATGATCTTCAGAAAGGGTTTGCTTTTGAAATTCAGGAGTACTGTAATGAAGGAAAACTAAATATGCAGCTTTGGGGGTGGACGGAATCGGTTAATTTCCATGTCTGTGTTCGCTTGTTTCCTTGCAATGAGCCTTTCTGACTTTAGTTCAAAGTATTCAGGTTCTTTGGTAAAAGACAATGTAGAAATTGCTCCTGTGTCACAACTGCAAAAAGTAACAAATGGTCCCAATTCTGCGTGGCATACAGGATACCAATATTTTCACACCTATGGTGCTTACAGTTAAAAGTAAAGTAATGTATCTGTGTCTAAACTACAGTTTGTGGCATGTTTATGTGATGACTGGATCACTCGTTGAATCATTTGAATGATGCTGGACCTCCCTGCTTTAGGCGTCAGTAGTTCTGTAGAAGAGCAGCAATGCTTTTATTTCACTCAAAGGTGTCCTGTAGCTCATGCTCCTCTGGTGTAGAGGCATCCAGATACTGTGTTGATGAGGGTTATAATGGAGTTTTGCTGAGTGAATGGACTGAAATATTGTAGATTCAAATATTTGTGCAGTGATGAGTGTAAGAAGGCTGGGGGGCACCCATATGTAGGTCTAAGAAGATTCTCAATACTGAAAAGGCTATGAAGGGCTTCCTTGAGCTCTTCTGGGAGGTCTGGTGTGTTTCACTGCTAGGAAGCTTCCTGTGGTGTTCCTTGTAAGTTACTCCCAAACTGGAACAGGTAGATGAAACAATGAAGGAATGGTCACATAGGTTGATGAAATGCTATGATATTTTTGCCACCTGTTTATTGATGAAGTAGGTATCCTCAGCTGCAGTATTGTTTCAGAGTAAGTTTAAAACCTGGCTTAGAATGTAAGGTAGACTAAAAACAGCATTCACTCTCTTTTAAGAAGGAAGAGCTACTTTAAAAGGGGAAGTCCAGTATATTATATTCAGCGGAAACTGTTTAAGAAGCCACCTCTGAAAGGCAGTTCCTTTGCACTAGGGGACTGAGCTCTCAAAAATGCTTCATCGCCTTTTATTAAGCAGCTATATTTAGAAATTCTTTTTGATGTTGCTGTAAGGTATGCTTCATTTTACAGCTACAACTTGTACTGCAACAGGCTCAGCAGATGTATGTTTTGTTATATTCTCCTGAAAAAAAATATCCATTTACAAGTTGAGTTTTATTGTTGTTTTATTGTCACTGTGCAGTATTACTGAAATGGTTAAATGTTGTTCCAATCACAACATGTTTGTTTCACTACAGTTCTTAATGAGGGAGCAAAATGAGAACACTAGGTTTCTTTTATTTGCTTTCTCCTTTTTAAAAGCCAGGCACCGTTCAAAGATTTGTAACTTTATTTTTTGCTCCTTGCACTTCTGTTATTATAAGTCACTGTAATAACAGAAAAAACAAATGTAAGACGAGATGACTGTGGCTATCTTGTGAGATGCAAGGCCGTGATAATTTCTCTGATAATCTGACTGGTCCCAGGGGGTCAAAAAGGATCCGTTACATTCTGACTATAATACGCCATTGCTTACAACCCTTAAAAGTTGTCCAGAGTTCTCAGTTGTAGGATTGACGTTTACATACATATATTTTTCAGTACCAGTAAGAAAACAGAGTATCCTTTTCTTACACAGTAACAAGCTCATAGATATTAAACATGATATAACCTTTACGATGCTTTGCAAAACAGGGAGTAAGGCACAGTTCCTGCTCTAGAGGAACTTCAGGTTCAGTGTGGGTAATGCAGAAAAGGCCTCTCTGCAGGTAAGGAGGGACAGTTGATTGCTTTTCTGTTAGCTTGAGAAAAAAAAAGTGTTTACTGAAGTGGTAGAATTTTAAAAGGGATTGGAAAAATTGCACCGGGCAGCTTCAAAGTCTGACAGATGGGACTGAAAGCAGTTGGTGACACGATGTTGAAAGACAGCTTTGTGGTATTAATGAGAAAGAGCAGAAAAGAGAGTGAAGAGCATGTCAGGAGCCCGTGACATGGGGCGAGGGGGAGGAGGGCTGGAAGAAGTTACGAAGGGGAAGCGAGAAGTGGCATGGTCAAATTAGTTATCAACACGGAAACTGAAACTGCTTGTGATGGAGAGTAGTGGACTGAGGGGAGAGGAAGAGAGCCCAAGGGGATGCTGTGCCTGGTGCCTCAGCGTGCCTGCTGCAGGGACGTTCAGCTGGTCACTTAAACCTGTCCTGCTCAGGGATGGGGTAAAGGGGAAAGATTGGCAGCAAAATGGGCAAAAATGGTATCTTGGGCGAAAATGATATCACTTCCTTCTTTGTGCGTGGATGAAAAAGCAGGTTCCAGGGCACTCTGTTTGTAAATAAGCTTGCTGAGAAGTAATCAAGCTTGTAATTAGCTGTTTGTGGGCGGGACCAGAGCACGGAAACTTGCTAATATTTATGAGAGTTACTGCATGCACGTCTCTTGCCCATTTTGTGCCAAGATGTGCTCTGAGTGTATGCATGCAAATACCGGTGAGGAAAAACAGACTCTGTTAGGAGAGGCATAGCCATGGAGTGTTAGAAATGCATAAGCTGATGTACTTTAGACATTGCCAAGGTTTCTTCCAGTATTTGTATTTAACTCATATTTTCCCTTCATTTTCTTTACTGTTCTAAACAAGACAGTCACCTGGTTTAAATTCTCATGTAGGTCATGTGCTAGAGTTTACGCAAGCTGATGTTACTGCTTCTGGTGTTACCTTGTCATTGGACAGCTAGGCCTTAATCATCAGCATTTTTTCACAGCTCTTCCTGGTGTAATATGAAGACGACAGCTACATGGGCTACAGAGCCCTTGAGGCTCCTCAGATTTAGGAATTTTCTTCAAACAGCAAGTTGATGCTTCTGTGATAAGTTGGGGCAAGAAGAGCAACAAACTTTCTGCAGCTGGGATGCAGTAGGGATGGTGTTTTGACTGTCTGGTGATAGTATTGTGAATATGAAAAATGGGGGAAAGGAGGATGATTTTGATTGTACTTCAAAACCTCTTTTTCCATATCAATAGCATGATCATTAATACTAAGGACAAAATTGATTTCTAGATATTTTTTTACAGTTGCAGAAATTAAATTGCCCTCAGTTTCCAGAGCTAAAGATTTGACTTCAGCATAACATAGAATTCATAAAGTTTTTATCAGGCATAAGTCTATAAGTACCTGAAAACAATAAAGAAACTTTTATAGGAATGGTGATTTCTGAAAAGAGCTAGTTCTGTCTCTGTCAGAAAAAAAATCTGTATGAGCAAAGACTTGATGATATTTAGTTCCCTATAAAATGGTAAGTAAAAGCTGATCTGATACTTGAAAGGATCTCAGTAGGCTTGAAGTGATTCTTTTTCTGATGTATTTTGAGACTCCTAAAGTCTTCAAATCAAGATAAATATAATCAGGTTTTGTACTTTGTTTAAGGGAGTCTATTCTACATTGGATCTACCAGTAACAGTTACTCTTTCTGGGGAGAAACCGGTATTTGCTATTTGCAGACTTCAGAGATTCTTTTTTGCTTCGTAGTGCTATGAACTTTTTGTTGCTGTTTTTTTTTTTTTTTTTTTTTTTTTTTTTTTTTGTTAAAGTGCATTTAGACAGAATATGTGATGCATTAAACTTGCATTGCATATTTGATGTGCATGTATAATGTGTCAGTGATACACTTAAGTACAGAAAACCTGCTCGATGTGGCAGAGGCGGATTTGATTCATAATTGTACTTGGTACCCTTTCTGGCTAACTGTTCACAAGTTGTTTGTTTAACTGTCCCAGGAAGTAATCTTTCCTTGGGCACTGGTTATACCTGTGAAAAAGCTGGAGTCTTGGTGAGTGAAATAGACAGTTGTTGTGAAAACAATCTGTGCAGTATAATTGCTTTTACACTATGTTTCTGTCCGCTCTCCTAATGCTAGTTAGGAGAGGGGATAGAAAACACATCAGAAAACGCTACAGAGATGGTGAATATTGCTTGTTTAGAAGAGGTGTATAATAGAGTTCTGCTTTAGTTTGAACACATTTTCATGCTTCCAGCGTGTTCTTTAGTTTTGTTTATTCTTAAATACTCTGGAACGTAAAGGATTTATTTGTTATAACCTAGGTGTTGTTTATACTGGCATTTCTGTGTTTTGTACTCTTTGTAGTTATTGTTCTTTTGTCCAATTACTCGGGTAGAATTCTGTTTGCTATTTCTTCCTGGTCTTTTATTTTTTTTTTCCCCCTTCATGTTTATGTCACACACTTCTATGTCATATTAGTGAGCTTTTAAAGGTGAAAGTCTGTATTTGTAATGGTGGGTGTATCTATGCAACTGAACATGTGCTTGCATAAGAGAATACATGGAATTATATCCTTGAATGTGATTTTATGTATTTGGGCTAAACGAACTTAGCTTGCTTTATATTGTTGTGGAGTGCTGGGTACTGCTGTGTGAGAAGGCTGCAGGAGCAGTTAGTGTCACGGTACAGCTGGAAGAGGGGCGTTGCTCTTGCAGAGGAATTGAGCAGTGGCAGCTCCACCTGGCTCTTGATGTTTAATAGAAAATAGATTTAAGTGTCACTGGTACCTCTCTTTGTGAAGACCGTTCCTACTTTGCCAGGACCCTTGCCATTTTATCCTTGATGTTCACCATGTATATGCCATGCATTTAAATGGGTGGTCTATTACCTAAAGCTATTATGTATCTCTAATTTATACAAACATAATTATAAGGAAATAAATAAGCTGTTTTAAATACTGATTTTTTCCCCTTTTCTGCCTCTTTCAGCACACCGAAAACTGTAAAAGTTTGATATAAAAAAAACAACAAACATGTCCAGAAAGAATATAGACTATGGGGTGCTGCCGGAGTATGAGAAAAGCCAGATCAAAAGGACCTTGGAGCTGGGAACTGTCATGACAGTATTCAGTCTTAAGAAGAGCAGTCCAGAAAGGAGGACTATACAAGTCATAATGGAAACCAGGCAGGTGGCATGGAGCAAGACGGCTGACAAGATTGAAGGTTTCTGTGAGTATTTTCAAAGCGTACCTGAACTTGGAGTTACTTAATAAATTAATATAATTGTTGAATATTGATTTAATGAGCCTTTGTTAATATAATGAAGCTTTTGGCTGAAAATAGTCTGGTAACTTGACAAGAATACAGTGAATTGGGGCAATGCAGGTGAAGAATCTTCTGCAGCTCCTTAGTTAGATACCTAACCCTTGTATGTGGTTAACGTTCTTTTTCCCTAAACCCTGCTCTCAAAGTTTTCATCCTTGAATGTGATGATGCTTGTGTTCTATGAATTGTGTTACTGAGTGAGAACTGTTTTCCATCATTAAGCACTGAGATGTCTTGTAGATCCAAACAATTAGTACTTTTTTGCCCTTCTCTCCCCAAAATCAAAACACCCAAATACAAGGAAACTGAAGTAAATGTCCCATATTCTTAAAGAAATTGTTGTTTCAGGTTAGAAATCATTACTTAGGATCATTATTGGAAAGTACTAATGACTTAGGAAGATGAAGCTGTGAAATATGAGATTGTTTGAAGGTCCTGAGTTGATAGTGTCTCTAGCTTATATCTGAACTGGTAAAATCCACTATTTATAACTAGGTGGGGAAATCGAAGGGGAATTTAAAGCTACGTAGCACTGCAAAAGCCATGGTACAAGAGTAAAGTGAAACTTGTTTTCAGTTCTCACTGAATGTGGCTGATGTCAACCAAGTTCAACCTGCAGTTTTGGGGGCTTGTACAGTTCCCATTTCTATAATGTAATTACAGGTGTTGCATATGAGCATTTGATAACTTTATTTTTGTGGGACATGATTTTATGTGCTGTTGCTAAATGGTGTTTGTCTTCTATGAAGGGATTGGACAATCTGTCTGAGTTGACACTTACTGGTTGCCCTCAGCTAATACGAGAAGTTTGGAGTTGAATTTAGGAATTGAAATTGTGATAAGAACTTGGAGTTTTGAGGTGAAGAAGTAAAGGCTGAGCCAGTACACTGTAGTGGGGGAATAATTACAGCACAGGGAATCTCAGAGGTGAGACTAGAACTTACTGAGCAGAGACTGAAATTTAGGTGAGAAATAAGTTGATCGATGCCTGAGAGAAGGAAGAGGGGTTAGGAACATGAGAGAGACTGAGGCTAAATTAAGTGTGTGTGGGGATAAGGGGCCATAGGTGTGGAGAATAAGCAGATATTTCTCCCTGCGGCCTCTTACTTTTCTGGAGGCTTGACAGTCATATGTGAATTTCAGTGGGAAGAAAAATCTGCATTGTGTGGTGAAAGAAATTGAGGAGAAAGAGAATGGCATTCGTCTATTGATTTTTAGATTTTTTTTTTGTTATAAATCCACCGTAAGCTAAAAACACATTGATCTGTAAGGCTGCAAAGACAAGCACTGAGAAGATGCATGATTTTTGAATTGTCTGTGCAACTTCACTTCAAGCTACTTAGGAGCATTAAATTTCTATTTGGTATTTCCACCAGTTCCTGTCTTGTTCTTTGCAAAGACTGCGCCTGCAACAGGAAATCTAGTGCAGTGGAATGAAAGACTGCTCATCTGGAGAATGTTTTTATAATTGGTGGTGAAAATGTGGTCATACATAGCGTTCTGGGAAAAAGCAATCGGATCTGCACACCCTAATTAACAGGTTCTCTGGATCATCCTTTTGCTGTGCCCTGGTTAGTCGTGTAAAATTAGGGTAATTATTCCTTCCTACAATGACGAGGGTGAATGCAAGTATGATATGCTCAGATCCCAAAATGAGGTGTGCCAAAAAAAAGTCCAGTGCAGAGGGGAGTAATTCAGTTATGAGAGCATGGCTTGAATAAACCTTACAAGTAAAGCCTGGGGTGACGCACAGAACAATGAGATTAAAACAAAATAGAAAATGACCACTTGCTGGATTAATGAGGCCTCAGAGTCCTCTGGCAAAAAATAACATGGGATCATGTAGTTAAAGACTATAACACAGCCACTCGCACAAAGTGACTAAACTTAAAGCGGACCAGTCTGTATTCCAGAGCATTCCAGGTTTTTGGGGCCAGTTTTTTTCAGTGTGTGACTTGCAGTCTTATCAAAGCATCCCGTGTGTGTGTAGGAATACATACTGATAATTAAATTTCTTGCTCTGTGTATAGATTTTGACCCTTTTAAAGAAAGGTGAATATTTTTTTTGACCCTTATACGTGGGTGATCCAGCAGGATAATGACTTGCCTCTGGATACACTGGCACTTGTTACCAGGACAGGGAATTCAGCTATAGACCTGCAATTTATCCAAAGGCCATCTGCCTTTCTCCCTGAAAATTCAAGTATTTTAGCAGTATTTTTAAATTCAGGAATATTTAAGTGGAAATACTTAATGGAAACTTCAGGTATGAGAATATGTCAAGACTCCAAAGCATGAATATGCAAAAATATTGTTCTGTTGTCTTACAAAGCAAAGAACCCTCTCAAAAACAAGATGTATTTTCAGGCATTGTTTCAGAATATGATGTGAACTGCTGTTGTGTTGTTCTGGTTCATGGTAAATTCTATCTGATCTGCTTGAAATGAAAGTCACTGCAGCTTTAACTTGCTGACAGTGTTTCTACTGAAGAGGAAGGAAATCTTTTTTTTTTTTTTTTTAATTTTATTATTACTCCTTTTGACTGACACTTGGGCTTCCCTTTTGCTTGAAAAGTACAAAAAACATGGATTTGAACTTTTCATATGTAGTAATCAAATGGATGGGCTTTTTGAGTACCAATAACAGGAGCATAAGAATTTTTATTTCCCTGGAGCTGTGCTAAAAAGTTGTTACCAACTTTGTGATGGGAGAAAAATCATTTTCACTTGAGAGTATCTAAATGTATGTATGAATATCCCAAATATTCACTGGTGGGTTGTATTGACTTTGTGAAAAATAAGAACTAAGAAGGCTTATACATTTGAAAAATATATATTTAGTGGCGAAGGATCTCAAGTATTATATTGTTGCTTAATATTCTGTGCTTTAATCATCCTGAAGATTGCTGTTCAATACACATTTGTGATGTGATCTTAATGGTTGCTATTTCCATGTGCTACAGTCCAATAAGAATTAATATTGATCATGGGTGAGAGAGTGAAGATCGTTGTGTGTGCAATTTTAACTCATTTGGCAACTGCGCTTTAGAGGAGGCATGGAACTGAATGTTTGCACCTGCTGGGGGAATTGTGTTCATAAATCAGATAGCAAGGAGAGCTCTTAAGTTTTGGATGCAAAAAGAGCTGATAGAGAGGATGGAGACCAGTTTTTATGTTGTATCCTAATACCTTTCCTTTGGAAAATAAGAACCTTTTTTTTCCCCTCTCTCTGTTAACCACTCTGCCTAGTGTTGTGAGTTTGGGGTATCACAGTGCTGAATTTCTTGATGTTGAACTGTAAATATGTAAAGGGCTCTCAAATTCCTCTAAGCCAGAGCAGCTCGTAGTGTAGGCCGGTCAATGCTCTGCACTGCAGGGATGCAAAGCTCTTTTGATTGTGAGGAGACAAGTAAATATCTTAAAAAAATGATAGCATAAACTGCTGAAAGACACCTGCAGCGTTACGAGGATGGATATCAAGGAGACTTCTGCACTGATTTCAGTGGAGTAGTGTGGTCTCTGGAAGAAGTACTTTGTGTTATTTGTGGTGGGAAAAATCTGAGACATCCTGAAGTGAGGCAGAGATGCAGGTGTCTTTTTTTTTTTTTTTTTTTTAAACTTTCATTTACTGTAATAAAAGCTTGTTTGGGAACACACAAATGTAGTCATTAGACTTCCTTAAGAGAGCTCTTTTAAAACAGGGAGTTGTTTTTGGAGTTGTGACATTTTTTTACATAGATCCTTAAGCAGTGGCTTGTGCCTGCAGATACAGTGATGATAAATATTGCTCTTCTGTAAGGTTGGTACAAAAAAAGCTTTGCTGTTCTTTCAGACACAATTATCTTAAATTATTTTTATGTTTAGTGGGGTCTAGCTCGGAATAAGACAGCTGATATTAATTTTCCCAAGAGCTGCTTACTGTATCTATAGCTGGTAAGCTTTCATACTGCTGTTGGTTTTTATACCTTACAGACATCTAATATACAGTGACGTGTTAAATGATTAGTGTATCCATCTGTACTGTGTTCTCTGGGGCCATGTTCCTGTGCTGCTAAAATTACGGTACTACTCAAAACCGATAGTTCAGCAAGTCCAAGTCGCTGGAGACAGCTGAATAAATGGGCGGAGGTGGTTCTGCTCAGTGCCTGGTATGGATGAACCCTGAGGATATTACAAGGACGTTTTTCAAGTTTGGTTAATGTTGTTTGGGAAAGGATTTAAGTTAAGCCTCACATTAATAATAAAACAACAACAAAAAAACCCTTTGTTTTGGAATAAATGGATCTGTGCAAGGGAGATGTGGGGTTATCTATGCTGATAGAAATGTTTGTGCAATGCCATGGCTCTCGGTGTGGCAGTACGATGTACTTTAAATTGCATTACCCATGGAAGGGTTCCTTTCTTTTAAAAGTTGTCAGCCTTTATGGTCAGAACAGGGTGAAAGAGGTGCTAAAATTATGGCTGTTTCCTGCTCAGTGCAGATGTCTTTCTCCAGATGAGTAAGTTAAAATGGAGCTACCTTTCTTTAGAAAGTCCCTGGTTCCAGGCCTTTGGCCTCTAACAAGTGTGGATGTACAAAGGCAAGGACAGCTGGTTTAAATGCTCTCCCATCTCCATCGTGTGGCTCTGACCACGCAATGCCTGAGTACTGGAGATTTTACTTTGACCTTCTGAAAGACCCGAGTCACCATACACAGAAGGGATTTCCTAGCAAAAAGGAACTAGTGAGAAACTTCTGTATTTAACTCCCTGTGAAATAGCACAGGTTGTTTGTGTCCTTTAGCAAGGATACACAGTTTCAACAGTAGATCAAGGAGCCAAATTTTCAGCTAATGCATGTCCCAGAGTCTGCTGACTTTAACAAAGCAACTGAGGGCCTTGGTCACTTTGTTTTTGCTTGAGATT